GGTCACGCAGTCGGAGTCGTGGTAGGAGGTAAGCTTCTGGCTGTTGTGTTTCATTCTTTTTCTTACTCCTGCCTCTGCATCTGCGCTCTCTGTTGTCATTGTGAACAGTACCTTGCAGTAATCTTGTTGTTTGTTTGTTTTTCCTCCCTTTGTTTTGTAGGTCTAGGTCAGCTTCCTACCGCAGGTCCAGGTCAGTCTCTCCTAGAAGGTATAGATCGTTTTCACCCCGCAGGTCTCGGTCTGGTTCTTTAAGGAGATCAAGGTATGTGTTTTCTGTTGAGTCCAGAACATTGTTGAAGGGAACATAACTGTTGGACTCAACTAAGTTTTTATTTTGCAGTCCATGTGTTTGCAGGAACCTTCCTGGTGTTGCATCCCTGAGAGCTAATCTGAATGCCTTCTTTGAAGTTGAAAATTTAGGCATATAACTTTGGAACAGCTTTTTATGGGCTTTTTTTGTACCATATCAATGTGGTCTTGATCTATGGTTAAGGTTTCCTACTTCAGCTTCAAGGATACAGGGAGTAATTATGCTTAGTGGTTTAGGGCAGCGTGATTTTTTGTGTGGATGGTAGTGCTGCCAGATGTACTACAGTTTTCTAATAGTAAAAGTTACTTCTGCAAAATGAGTAGTTCCAACAAAATTCTCTGGGGTCAGTACCATAAATATCGAAGAATACTACCTGAGCTGTACAGATCATACAGTAGTAGTTGAGCTTTCACTGCTTCTCTTTTAGATCTAGGTCCAGATCACGCTCAAGGTCCCGGTCTGTTGTATGGCCTCGAAGCAGGTAAGATACTTGTTTTAGTTCAAACTGATAATAGTTTGGGGTTTGGTTTTGTGGGTTGGCCTTTTTTTTTTCCCCTCTACCTTCCCCAGGGGAGTTGGGCTGGAAGGGATTAGAAGGTTGTGCAGTATAGCGGTATTTGCACTTAAGGTTAATAATGTATGCGTTTTTTCAAACTAAAGCAGTGGTTGATTTCTTGTGAGTTTGCTTTCGCCTGTGGCTATTGCATACAGTATGTGTAGCCGTAAACAAAGCATGTGTATGACTTCAGGTTTGTGGAGAGAAGTTCTGAGAACTAGTTAATGCCTATGCATGTAGAGAATATCTGACCTTGTGTCCTGCAGGAAATGCTGCAGAGGTTTTTCTGGGGATGGGGGGGAAGCGATGAGAAGGTTGCTGCTATTGACTGAACTCTTGCTTACAGCTTTGTCAGTTCCAGTTTGGAGAGTTAGATCAAATTAAACTGCTGTAGTGCTAAGACCTACGTTACATGGAGTAGGACACTTCAGAGGGCTGAATGTGAACAGGGCTGCAAGTCCTAATGCCACAGGTAGTGTTTTGAAGGACTTCTCTGACATGTAGGCCTGGTTTTCTGGATCTCTGTATTTTCCAGGCTGATAGGGAAATTGAGGAAAATGGGTGTAGACTTGAATGTTTCTGTATTGTTTTCCTCTGCCCTTTGTGATAAGCCTTAGTTGGAAGAAGGGTGAAAGGGTAGGATAAGAATGTGATGGACTCAAGAGCTGATAAGTTGGAAGAAGTTGTGTTTCATTTTGCATTAGAACAGGGGAAGACAACTGGTTTTTAGGGGTCTGCCTGCAGCATTTGCATACTGAGCCTTTAACAGGATGATGATTGTTGCTAGAGCCGTCCTGACTTGACTTACAGAGGCCTGTAATGCAAGAGATGACTAGCCAGGCTCAGATCGCATGCTGCTGTTGTGGAAAAAAAGTCTGGATACGGCTGATGTTCTTGGTGACTTCTGGTTCTAGGACAGCAATGCTCCTGCATGAAAGACTTTACACTCATACTGAAATTTCTGAGGAATGCTGAATTGTGCAGAAGTTTGCAGTTGCGGTGGTGAGAAGTGGTAGTTCAGGACTGGAGTTATGGAAGCATTATGAAAACTCCAGCCAGTGCTGGTCCTCTGCTACTACAGCAAAACACTAGGACATAACCGGTGCTGCTTCTAGAGCTTCTGATCTGCAGTCCTGCTTTGCTGCTGTGCCTCTCAGAAGGAGAGTTTGCTGGCAGTTCTTGTGTGCTGCCTTGCTGTATTTCTTCCAAAAGGAAGTCATGGTTATGCCACAAAGTACAAGTTCTGGGTAGTTTTGGGTAGAGCGACTCTGTCCTGTCTACTGTGGTGCAGTACCAAATTACTGGTTATAGTGCTGGGAGCTGGGAGGGACGATGGCTCAGCATAGTGGCCAGGAAGGTTTCAAAGTAGCGGCATGTTAACTTCTGCCAGCCTTGTCCACATAGTATTTCTGTACATTAATAGGCCGGGTAAAGGTGAATCTTGGTTATGCTTCAACACAGTTCTGAGCAGTAAGAGAATAAAAGTTTCTTACTTTTTTGGCCAAGTCTATTAGACAACTGACTACCTTGAACACTGGGCTTTCTGATGTTCAGTAACACCGCATGCCTGAATTCTGACAAATGTTTTCTAAGTGACAGCAAATGCTTGAGTTGGTGAAGTAGGATGATAAATGTGGGAGGAAAAATCTCACTGTAGATTTTAATCCTTAAAATGAACTGGGAATAGTTTACACGTTAGTAGCCAGATATCAGAGAGAACTGAAATGTTTTCAATGGGGATAAGTGATGAAAAAAGCTGTATTACACTTGAATAAAAGTGGCACTGGGAACTTCAGCACACATGCTTCCTTGTGGCTGATTCCAGACTCTTGATGTGCTGTTAAAAGATTTTTCTAAGATGACATGTGAAACTATTCTTCCCTTTATGGAAGGGATACTTGCAGGTGGGGACAAAGTCTGGGAGCCTGCTACAGGGCCTTCTGATTTGTGAAAGCGGTAGCTGAAGCTTTGCTGGGGAGCTTCTTGTGCTTCTACTCTTTACCTTCTGAGAAGTGGGGTCTCTGCAATAAGAGCTGCAGGATTCTCCTGAGATGTCACAAGAAAAGCCTGCAGCACCAGAGCCGCCTTCTCTGGTTTGTGGTGCTGTGTCGTATGAATTTGCTGTTGCTGGTTTAGCAGATTTTCTTTATACGTGCATGCTACTGGCTGCTTTGCTGAGCTTTACTTTTCTCCTCTTGTAGGTCTGGGTCCCATGGTAGATCTAAATCTGGCTTACCTGCTAAAAGGTGAGCATATAAATACAAGTAGCACTGTGTAGGTTTTTGGGTGGGTTGGGTTTTTTTTCCCATGATTCAAAATCTCTGCTTGGGCCAATGTTTCAATTGCATGTGGAAGAGAGTTTTAGTTTTTTGTTGTTTGGTTGGGTTTTTAGTAGCTGAATTTAAAATATTTTATATACTTTTTTATTATAGCTGTTTTTCGTGGGACAGCAGGCAGTTCTAGAAGGATTGTGGATACGGGTGTTTTGTTTGACCTGATTGTGACAAAAAGTATTTTTGACAGGATTTGGGGCATATCTTTTCCCTAACTTTGTTCTCAACTGCCTGTAGTTCTCAGTCTTCCGATTCTCCTCTACTTGATTCCCTGCTCCTGCTTTGCAGGATTATTGTCATCACTTCAGAGCTGCTTTGAAGCTGTGTGTTACTCTTTTCCCAAGGGCTCCAGCTTTCAGCGGTTTGCCTTCTCAACTGCAGCTTCTTGCTTAAAGTAGTTTGGTATTCTTGCTATCAGCAGCATTAAGGGTGGTGTCTTTTAGCGTATATTTAACAACATCAGCTTGTTCTCACTGTTTGTAAATGGTTAAAAGTGGTTACTGAGTGTATACAAGTTTACCACATTGATTGTGGTGTTGTGGTTTTTTGTTTGTTTTTAAACAGTCGCTCGAAGTCCAGATCACCATCTCCAAAGAGAAGGTAGGAATATCTTAAAAACTGGAGCATTCCATACAGTTACATAGAACTAGTGTCCTGAGTGATTGCTGTAGAAGTTTACTTGTGCAAGGATAAAAGCTTAAAAAGTTTTTTGCCTGTCTTAATTTGTGAACTGTGAAAAGATGAATTATGGGCACTATCCTACTGCTGGTAGTCAGGACTTCACCATAATAACTCTGAGGTGACCTACTTCAGTGAGATTTTAAAGAACAACAGAAAATGTGGGCAAATGAGAATCAACTATCCCAAAGTTCCTGAGGAAGTTAGGATCGGGGGAAGAAGCGGGTAATGTAAGGCATGAAGTAAACTGTGACTACACGGTAGGGTTAAATCCCTGCTGGTGGCTCCTCACAGCAGGCTCCCGGTTGTACAGCTGCCAAGCTTTGCTCTGCAGTGTGAAGTAAGCAGCAAGTTTTCCCATGTAACCAGAGAAGCGTGTGGTCTGAGATGGTGCCCCGTGGCCAGCCCCAAGCTGGAGCTGCACCGCTTATGGCAGTGAGAATTTCTCTGCCCAGCAGGCATGCAGGCTCCAGGGTGCTTCCTGAGTGGGCTTGAGGTCTCATCTAGCTGTTGCAGCTGATGTCTCTCATTTTGCCTGCCCTTTTCGAGCTTGAAGAAGTTGTTAATTAAAAAGGTGTAAAATAAAACACTTCTCTCCTTATTCATGAACTGCAAGGGAAAACAAGTGTGGGGAGGGGTGCTATGAGGCAGGGGGGAGGGGGGCTCCTGAGCAGAGGAAGCCTGGGGTAGCGTGCAGCTTCTGTTGGTCTTGCTGTAGCAGTTGCTTTTAATCTTTTTATTTCCTTTTCAGTCACTCACCATCAGGAAGCCCTTGAAGGAGTACAAGTCCGGAAAGAATGGATTCGAATTTAAAAAGTTTAAGAAGAAAATTTATTTTGTTTACATTATTATAAGGGATTTTGTGGTGTCTTTATAAATGTAAGGGCTTAGTCCTAGAAGGATGTTTCTCTTGACTAACAATTGGCATGAATCTGGATCTCTTAAAAGTCTTAAGAGTAGACTAATGCAAGACTTTTGTTGTGTTAACGTTCTGTGATTTGGAGATGTTGGGCTTTTTTTATTGGTGCATTGAAATAAACTGTGCATTTCTAACGTAAGAAATATTTTATGATAACCCTGCTGTTTCTGTTAATACTTGGGTAGCTGAAGCAGGTCATAGGCTGGTACGGTGAAAAGCAGGAAGAGAGGCTGTGACAGGCACTGATGAGACAAGTGTAGTGCAGCAGTCGGCTGTCCTGCAGGGGTGTGCCTGTTTGTCACTACAGGGCACCGTTTAGACTGAAGGGGCACCAGTACCAGCCCTCACTCTTACTGTTTGGTCTTGAATGTTACGGTGTTCTGTACCTTGTGTTTTTATTTGCACCTCCTTGGAGCTCAGTGAAGCTGCAGACCTGTCTGGAGGTGCTTGTACACATGATGATTTGACTTGCAAAAATGTCTACAAAGGGCAGTAACAGATGGGAAAAACAAGGAATGTGTGAAGGCTGGTCTGTGTCTGCTTCATTAAAGGACCGGTGAACTTCTCACCTGAGGGTATTAAGAATACTTCTGGAATGTAAACTACTGAAGTAAATATTTTTAGAAATCTTCCTTTATGTCCTGGTTGTCCAAATAGTACTACTTCTTTGTGATATTACTTATAAATTGGCAGTTCTGGGGCAGAAGATAATACATTTAGGTACTCCTTTTAGGAAATTCAGGTTTTCTGTACAGCTTGATGGTCACAAGCAGAACCTGCAGGTCACGTTTAAGTAGCAGTACGTTCGGGAAAGCAGGAGCTCTTGTTACACCTATCTGACCTGGTCTGCTTGGTCACACCTTCTCCTTTGGCAGTAAAGTGTGACCAAGGGCCTTACTGTTGTCCTGACCAGCTGTTGCTTTGGGAAGCTGGGCTGTAGCTGCCTGTGTACAGGTGTCCCCATCTCACCGTGGACAAGTTACTGAAGGATGTAAGTGTGATAAACTAGGGCAAGGTGTTTGCCAGTTTGGCTCGTCTTTTGCAGCTGACAACGGCTATTATCAGATTAGCAAGGAAATCGGAGTGCCAGGTGATTTTTGCCTTAAAAGTTTTCCTTATGGCATGTTCTGGCCTACGCTGCTGTGTCTCAAAGGCCAGCAAGGAACAATAGTTCTCTTGGGGCATTAATTTGTCAGCAGGGGTTGATAACTCCACCTCTAGACTGCAGCACTGCAGCTGTGCATGGGCATCCAGCCCCAGGCTTTCAGAGGGACCACTGTGGTCATTGTTGCTTTACGAGATGTCCAGGTAGTGAAAGAATGGTAATGAGCCCCTGTGTGTGACTTAACAAAGCCTCTTCCTCTGTATGAGAGCGTGTGTTTGCCTTGTCCCTCTTCTCTCTTCCCCATGTTTGTGCATTTTAGTGGGTTGGGTAAGTGACTTTCCTTGCTGATGGTGCCGCAATTAATACATCGTCATAACAATAGTCCCTTATAAGCTACAGAAGGGGGAGCTGGAAGTAACTGTTAAACTAGAGTGACCCAGGAGGCATTGCTAAACACTGTGGGGTGGGAGTAGTGATTTGGTTCCCTTCCACATTGCCCTTTACAGCATCAGTGGTAAAATTGCCCCACTCCACAGTGCTGTCAAAGACAAGGAGCTTTTTCCTTTTTTCCCCTCTGCAGTGCTGAAGCGAGTGGACTCCACAATAAACCCCTGGACTAAAACTCTTGTAGTGCTACCTTTCTTTTTCAGTCTTTCCACTCCATCAGAGTATTAAGAGGAAAGGAGGGTGGGCTGGGACTTGGGGGTAGAGGCAGAGGGCTACTAGGGCCAAGCTTTGGGCAGCAGTAGGGAGGAGGTTGGACAAGGAACTGCTCTTCAGCTGCTGCTGGGGGTGGCTCTTGCCATACCTCATGCAGAGGTCTGGGGTCATTAACAGCAGCACTGCTACTGTTTGGTGCTTGTCACCTGCATTTAATGTGGGTCTCATCCTTGTGGTAGAGACTGCTGTCTCAAAGGCAGTTCCAGCTGGACTGTCGGGAGCTTGCAGTGTGCAACTGGGGAGCAACAGCTCTGCTCTTCACCTGGGGGCTTGGACTGGCTCATACTAGCTCAATCATTTAGTATTTTATGCCTTTACTCTTAAGGGGAGATGGAGCTGTTGTATAGGCTTGCACCGCTTTCAGGGGCTGAACGTAGTTGCTGAAGGAAGCAAGTAGTAAAACCCCTGTGCTGGCACTGCAGCCCAGGGGATGAGGCAGGAGGGGGTATGCTCATAGTTCAGTATCCCCTGGCATTGAGTTGTGCTTTGCTCCCTTCCCAGACTTGCCCAGTCTGCTACCAAGGGAAGGTATGAGGATGTTTCAAAAGTTCTCCCTCTAGCAGGGTGGCTGCTGCTAATTACCAGCTGCTACAGCAGTGGCTGTCCTTGCCCTCACCTTCGCTTCAGGATAGCTCAGGTGGAGTTAACATGTGCGTGGGGAAGAGTCGTACAGACCCTGCTTGAGCCCTAGCTTGCATCTAAAACACCGCACTCCCTGATGGTTGAGAAATCATTTATTCCTGAGGATACCATTTGGAAAGCCGAATGGAAGCCTCAGGTGAAAAATGGCATCTGTTCCCATTTCACTCCACAGCCAGGCCAAACAGGAACAGTATTTGCTTGCCCTGGCTGGCATGCACACACAGAAGCAACACCAGATCTTAACAGTCCTGCTTCATACAGAGCTGACACCACCCCCTATTTGCCTCTGCAGTACTGTAATATCCTGCTCCAGGATTCCTAGGCCTTCTCTAAACCTCAGGAAAAAAAACCCCAAGCATCCAAGAGTGCAGGTACAGGAGTATGGTGCTACTGGTGACCAACATTCAGCTATGGGAACAAGTTCAGCCTTCTGCCATTCAACAGCCCTGCAGAGCCCATTCTGCTGCACTGGTATGTTGGCTGGTATTCCCAGCTTCACCCTCATGCAAGGGTGTGTTGCTGTGAAATGGCTTCCACAAACATTCAACTGTGGTTTTGGAAAAATCAAACTCGTACCTGAAGGATGAGCTCCTCAGCCTGAAGGCTAGTTCTAGGCAGGGCTACTGGTATGGACAATGTTTACTCTGGTTTTACTGTTACAGATGACAGCAAAATTACTTCACTTAAAGGCACTTGCTGTTTGCAACTGCTACCAAATCAAGCAGCTCGGCTGTAGCAATTAAGCAGTATCGAAGTAATAGTTTGTTCTTCCTGCAGCGTTTCACCTCACTCGCCTGTAGCAGCCCATTCCCCAGAGCAGGAGTTTGGCTAAAAGTTTTCAAAAGTGGGACTTTCTTCCAGCTGTGGAGGGTGGCAGGGGGCCTGCTGCCTACCCAAGAAGGTTAGCAGCGAGCAGTACCAGCCACCCAAGGATTCATTTTTTAATGTTCTATGACAGTCCATCTCAGCGCTTTTACTCTGTCACAGTGTGGGGTGGGGGCAGGTTTTAAGGGAAACGTCCACACTCTCCTGCGGTTTCACACTGTAACCAGAACAGCCTGTGCTGATCCAACACGCTCTCTAAAGTTATTTCAGAACCTCTTAACATGAATCAATGTCCTCACCTTTTTAAGGGCTATGGGTTGAACCATAAACAAATCGGTCCCTGGTCAGCCAAGACTCAGTGAAGTCTTGGCGAAAACGTAGCAGAGTTTAAACCAATTTGGGAGCAGCTTATGATGTCACATGCTGCCTCCAGACATGACTATTACAAGCAGCAGCCAGGTAGCAGGTATTTTTGTGACCAGAAAACACTATTGCCAGTGTGTAATGTCATGAGGGGAAAAAAAAAAAATAAAAAAAAAAATAAAAAAAAATCATTTTACTTTCTTAGTTGGAAGTTTCTGTTCCTCCCGAAAGATTTGGCATTTTCCAGAGTGTAAGAGTAAGCCATCTTACTTTCAACAAGCAAGCTCTCTGCAAACGAATTAAAAAAAAAACCAAACTCAAACAATCCCAAAACCTGTCAATAGCACAGCTGTGAACTTCATCTTCCAGAGAGCAGTGCCATGTTTTAGGACAACAAATACATCACGACACTGATGTTACATGGTCTGTTCTCAGGCAGCAGCAGTGGGTCTTTGCAGAAAGCTGTTCTCACTTTACTGTGTGGTCACAAGCTTCACAATCATACCGATGATCTGAGATCTGCGGGGGCACATGCATAAATCCATGGTAGGATTCTTGATTTTATCCTGCAGCAGCTGGTCTAGTTCGCAGCGCAGCTCTTTCACCAGCTCGGCCACCTAATACACACGGTAAAACACAGAGGCGAGCAAAAAGCTCATGAATTGCATCTCCTGCATCTGAAACACAAGCACAGCTCTGCAGCACTCCCAGGACTATCCTGCCTTTCCCTTACCTGGTGAGAGGCAGCCACGAACCGTATCCATCCATCATCAAGAGAAATTACAAACTCGCCCTTCTGCAGCTGCATGTGAACCTGTCCACCTCCAAGCAGGACCAGCGGGTACACTGACACCATGCTGCAGTCTCGAATGAACACGCGGCTGGTCTTGATTTTCTCGTGATACACCAGGTAAGGGCTCTCAAAGTGCCTAGTCTGGGACACGTACACAACATTCTTGTTAAGGAAGTGCCATATCTCTTCCTACCTGCTCAGGCGAACGTGGGCCTGCCTGCCTCTTCCTCACAGGGCTCCCCTGCCTCTTCTACGGCTACAAAGAACAGCACATATGCCTAAAATGCACCTGCATGACTAACAGGCTCTCCGACCCCTAAGAGCTGCCAGTTACCCCTTGCTCCTTCCCGCTTTGCGGTGAGCATGTGAGAAATCGGCTAGTTTGTTGATGTTACCTCAAGGCCCGATGTTCTCCATTCAATGCTAAGGACATTTTCATGTGCCCACTCCTTCAAAGCAAGAGTGATGAACAGTTCAAAGCCTTTAGAATCTAAATTATGTGGTTAATGATTAAAACCCCACTTTTTTAAAGCAACTAGTTTATATCCTGGAAAAACAATGAATCATCAAATATGAAGACAGATTTCACGAGACAAATATTACCATATATCACAGCAGAGAGAGAGGAGTTCTTATCTAAGCATTAGCTGGAATGGAAATTAACTTCAGAGATTGAGGACCCACAAA